TATGCTCCGGTAAATCTACTATCTTTATTATTTACTATTTACATTTATTTCTTACATAAAATTAGTACTCGTTATATAAAGTGCTAATTCATTTAGTTTGTTTTCAAGAATTTTTTTTTATAATATTATTATAATTAAAAAAAAAAGATTCTAGAAAAAAAAAAATCTGTGAAAAAAAAGACAGAACGAAAAAAATTGGGGAGAGATGTGTAACTCCTTAAGTTTTTTTTTCAATATTACATTCAATATTCTGCATTAACATCTATATCACAGAAACTCAAGTGAGTCATAGAGCGCAGCCGTCATTGGGGTAGAATAATTAGATATAACATTTCGGTTATATCCACAAAGATTAATCGGATCCTTGACGCTTTAATTCCATAATTGTCTTTTTCTACTCCTAGTTTTATTCTTTTTTTAAATGTTTTAGTTCCATTATATATCTAAATGGTTAATTGCATTCTAACTATTTAGCCATAAGTATAAGCACATTACATATTCTTTTTCTATGTGCTTACTTATGAAATTTTAGAAAACAAGATTCCTTTTTAGAATTCTTTGTAAAGTCTTAAAAGACAACCTTATTTGTCTTAATTCAAGAGATCCATTTCAAACACTCAATTTGACCGGAGAAGACAGGAGAGGTAAACACGAGTGATTGAGATGAAGTGATTTCTTTTTTTCCATTAACATCCTTTGCAGATATGTCACAGTTTAGTAAAACCAACCGACCTATGACCTTTGAAGAACGGATGGAGACTAGAATGGATAACATGTACAACAGATTGAACTTAGCTATTGAAGATATAGCAACAAGAATGGATGAGAGGGATGGAAGAAGGAACCGTAGTCATCCCAGACGCCGACACCGCCAGGATGATGATGAGTCACATGGCGACAATAGTGAAGTCGATAGAAGAGAAATCCGAAGAGAAGATGATGACATCAGATCCATCAAGATGCAGATACCTCCATTCAGATGAAGGGACGATGTAGAGGTGTATCTCAAGTGGGAACGGAAGGTAAAGTTGATCTTTGATTGCCACAACTATAGTGAAGCCAAGAAAGTAAAGCTAACAGCTGTCGAATTCACAAATTATGCACTTGTTTGGTGAGATCAAGTGACTGCTCTTAGGAGAAAAGATGGAGACCAACCTCTGTCCACTTGGAGAGAGATGAAGTCTACTATGAAAAAGAAATTTGTCCCATCTTATTATGATAGAGAATTGCACCAGAAGCTCCAAAGATTGACCCTGGGATCTCTCTCGGTGGAAGATTACCATAAGGAGATGGAGATGGCAATGATCAGGGCCAAAGTTTATGAGAGCCCAGACGCCACCATGCCTAGATTTCTCAGTGGTCTGAATAGGGAGATTGTCAATGTTGTGGAACTGCATCACTACATAAATCTGAATGAGATGGTATAGATAGTTATGAAAATTGAGAAACATCTAAAGTATAGAAGTTCCTCCATAAGTAATTCTCAATCTATCCCTCAGTTTAGTTCTAGATGGCCTAAAAAGGAAGAAAGAAAGAAACTTGAAGAAAGGAAGTAACAACCCAACTCTAGCGAATCTAAACGTAACCCTAAACCACCTACTGCTATTCAAAGACCAAGTTCTATTAAATGTTTTAAGTGTCTTGGAGTTGGACACATTGCATCACAATGTCCCAACAAAAACCTCATGTTACTACGAGACGATGGTGAGATAGAGACTGCCAATGAATACAGTAGTGATGATGATAGTAGAATATCACTAGATGATTGTGAAGACAATTTAGCAACCCCAAAACAGGATGAGATATTGGTTGTCTAGAGAGCCCTAAATATGCAATCCAAAGAGACAGACAACGATCAAAGAGAGAATATCTTCTACACCAGATGTCATGTGAATGAGAAGATATGCAGTCTGATCATAGAGGGAGGCAGTTGTGCCAATGTCGCCAGTACTTTGCTAGTTGAAGAGTTAGGGTTATTTTGTACTAAACACCCTAATCTTTATAGACTACATTAGTTCAATGAGTGTGGATAAGTTAGGGCACATAAACAAGTCAAGATTCTCTTCTCCATAGGCAAGTACAAATATGAGGTATGCTATGATGTCATTCTCATACACGCCAGTCATATCTTGATTGGATGACCATGACAGTATGATAGACAAATACATCAGGACGGGTTCAAGAATCAATACTCTTTACGTCTAGATGACCTAAAACACATTTTGACAACTCTATCTCCAAAAGAGATCTATGCTGATCAAATCAAAATAAAAAATCCTTTGAAAGAATACTAAGAAAAAGAAAAAGAAAAAGAAAGAAAAGAGACCGAAAAAAAAAAATGACCCACTGAAAGAAAAAGAGGCTGAAAGAAATAAAGAAAGTCTATTGAACGTAAAAGAGGCCCAAAAGAACAATAAAAAATGCCCCATGAGAGAAAGTGAGAGAGAAAAAAGAAAGAATGTTTATATGTGAGGGAGAGAGAAGTGAGGAGAGCGATTTGTGAGAAGTAAAGCTTAATTGTACTTCGTACAAGGAAGCCTATCTAACGTTTTCTGACCTTAACACTTCTTTACTTAGTTCTATTCTATCTCTTTTACAAGAATATGAATATGTATTCTCAGAGGAGATTCCGCATGGTCTAACACCGCTACGAGAGATTGAACATCAAAATTGACTTTATCCCTGGAGCTTCAATTCCCAACCGTCCAGTCTATCGAAATAATCCTGATGAGACAAAGGAACTTCAGCGGCAAGTGAAGGAGTTGTTAGGTAAGGAACATGTAAGAGAAAGTTTGAGCCTTTGTGCTGTTCCAGTGTTACTGGTACCTAAGAAAGATGGTTCTTGGAGGATGTGTGTGGATTGCCGAGCTGTCAACAAAATTATGGTGAAGTATAGACACCTTATCCCTAAGTTAGATGATATATTGGATAAATTGAGTGAATCTACTATTTTCACTAAGATAGATCTTAAGAATGAATACCACCAGATTAGAATGAAACATGGATATGAGTGAAAAACTGCCTTTAAAACCAAGTATGGGTTGTATGAATGGTTAGTAATGTCTTTTGGGTTATCAAATGCCCCTAGCACCTTCATGAGACTTATGAATCATTTTTTACGACCTTTTCTAGGTAAATTTGCAGTAGTTTACTTTGATAACATCCTGATTTACAACAAGTCTTTAGAATATCACTTTCAACAATACGATTTGTCCTTGAGATCCTTAAGAAAGAACAGTTGTATGCGAATGTTAAGAAGTGTACCTTCTGCAGTGAAAAATTAATTTTTTTAGGATTTGTAGTTAGTGCACAGGGAATTGAGGTAGATGAAGATAAGGTGAAAGTAATCAGAGAATGGCCTACTCCGACATCAGCCAGCGAGGTAAGGAATTTCCATAATTTAGGGAGCTTCTACCGCATGTTTGTTAGGGATTTCAGTTCCATAGCAACACCATTGAATGAACTGGTAAAAAAAAATGTAAAATTTGTATGAACTAAAAAACAAGAACATATTTTTACTTTATTGAAAGATAAATTATGTTCTGTACCTATTTTAGTTTTACCTGACTTTAACAAAACTTTTGAACTTGAATGTGATACTTCAGGTATTGGTATAGGAGCGATTCTGATGTAGGAAGGGCGTCCCGTGGCTTATTTCAATGAGAAACTTAGTGGCACACCGTTGAACTACTGAACCTACAACAAGGAGTTGTACGCCTTGGTAAGAGCATTAGAAGTATGGCAACACTATTTATTGCCAAAGGAATTCATGATCCACACAGACCATGAATCCCTAAAATATCTGAAAGGTCAAGGTAAACTCAACCGTCGTTACGGTAAGTGAGTCGAGTTCATAGAATCTTTCCCCTATATAATCAAGTATAAACAAGGTAAGCATTATATTGTTGCTAATGCATATCTCGCAGGTATGCTTCAATTTCTACACTTACCTTTAAGTTGTTAAGATTTGAATATATTAAGGAGATGTATGCTAATGATAATGATTTTTTCACTGTTTATCATGCACGTGAGCACTCTGCATTTCATAAATTTTATAGGCATGATGATTTCCTCCTTAGAGATGGTAAGTTATGTGTATCCAACTGTTCACTCAAGGATTTACTGGTGCGTGAGGCTCACAGTGGGAGATTGATGAGGCACTTTGAGGTAACTAAAACTCTAAATATATTAAATGAGCATTTTTATTGGCCTAACATGAATAAAGATGTTGAGCGCATTTGTAATAAGTGCATTGCATGTAAACAAGCCAAATCTACAGTTCTACCTCATGGATTATACACACATTTACTTGTGCCCACAGCACCTTGGATAGATATATATATGGATTTTGTATTAGGATTGCCTAGGACCAGGAGAGTTAGTGATAGCATATTTGTCATCATAGATTGATTTAGTAAGATGTCACACTTCATTGCATGCCCTAAGACTGATGATGCGACAAATATCGCAAATTTATTTTTCAAAGATATTGTGAGACTTTATGGCATTCCTAAGACAATTGTGAGTGATAGGGATGTGAAATTCCTTAGTCACTTTTGGTGAGTTCTATGGAGTAAATTAGGAACTAAGTTTTTATTCTCTACTGCATGTCACCCTCAAACTGTCGGTCAGACTGAGATTGTTAACAGAACTTTAAAATCCTTATTGAGAGCTATAGTTAGCCGAAACTTGAAAATATGGGAGGATTATTTGCCTATAGTAGAATTTGCATATAATAGGAGCATTCATACATTTATAGGGTTTTTACTTTTTGAGATTGTTTATGGTTTTAATCCTTTAACTCTGTTGGACCTCACGCTTTTACTTTTGTAGGAAATTCAGGATACCGATGGTCAACGGAGAGCAGAACTTGTTAAAGCCATGTATGAAAAGGCAGGCAGCACATCCAAAAGAAGAATGAATCCTATGCACGACACACCAATAAAGGAAGGAAGCGAGTAATGTTTCAACCAGGCGATTGGGTATGAGTTCATATGCGAAAGGAAAGATTTTCCAATCAGCAAAAATCTAAGTTGGACTCTCGAGGAGACAGACCTTTTAAGTTCTAGAATGTATCAATGACAATGCCTACAAAATTGATCTCCCAGGTGAGTACGGTGTGTCTACTACCTTTAATGTTTCTAACCTTTCCCTTTTTGATGCAGCTTCAGATTCGAGAACGAATCTTTTTGAAGAGGGAGAGGATGATGTGAGCATGGACATGGGTCGAGTTGGTGGAGAGAATATTTCAATGCCAAGTGGGCCCATTACAAAAGAGAGAGCTAAAATATTATAACAAGTTTTCCAACTTTTTATGCAAGCGTGAATCAATGAGAAAGATGGGATTGGACCCATTAAAAAAGCCCAAGAAAAGATGACAACGTGATCATTAACCCAATGGTATAATAGTATATTATATTCACCCCAAGTGCAAGAAAGAAATAAACAAGGAAAAAATTCTGCAAGACATGAAAAAAAAAAAAATCTCATGCAATTTTATTTCCTAATCATATGAGAAATCTTCACAATTAAAGATCAGCCAAGAGGGGAAATTGTTCCTAAATTGCAAGCTATCTTGAAAAAGAGGAAAACTCCTTAAATATCAAATCTCACAGAAAAAAAAAATACTTGAGAAAGAGGAAAATATTTTGGCAGAATCTCTTCCCCTAAATCAGTCACAATTAATTAAAATATTCCCTATTTAAAAAATTTTCTTCATAGGGAAATCATATATGTACTATTTTAGTTGTGATTTTCTTAATTCTTGCTAGTTTTTCATTCTAATTATATTTAATTTCCTATGTAATTTCTACCATTAATTAAGAGATTATTTTTCCTTTATTATTCGCATAGGCTACACTATAAATAAACATTCAATTTAGAGTTGTAATTCAATTCAGAATATTCAGCTTATTAATAAAATTCAGATATTCTTATTTTAAGCTTTCAAGCTTGCAAGAGTGAGTGAGTGAGTTTTCGACCAACTTGTTGTATTAGAAATTGAGATCACTTATCAAGATAAGTCTCGTGGCGTTTTTTCAATTCTAGTTCTTTATTTCTTTCCCAGTTACCTTAGTTTTCACACATCTGTTGAGTGCAGGTCAAGTAAGGAGGATTTATTTAGGATTTTGAGTTTTTGATTGCTGATATATATGCGGGGTTTTGGATTCCATTGTTGATCCCGGGTTCCGCATTAAAAGCATTTCTATTAAGTCAAATGCTTGTACAATTATCTTACCAAAAAGGACCCTGTAGTAGCAAGCCTCCACAAAGGTAGATCGTTGTTGTCGTCCAAAGTCGTAAGAGACAAAATAGTTAGAAGATTCTCATACTCATTAATCTCCCAATCAGTAAGGTTCCTCAGTACATTTACCTACCACTCATTCTCTCCCTCCCCCCCCCCCCCGCTTCCCCCGATCATTTTCTCTGAAAGAATCGGTAATCAAATACAGGTCTAGAGTCTGTATATACCCATACATTTTTTTTTCACATTCCTTTCCCATGCAATCTTGACAGTGTTATGGTGTACCAATCTTTCTCATCGATTTCAAACTTTGCTTTTATCACCCTTCTCCATAACATACCCGTTTCTTTCATAAGTCTCCAAAACCATTTGCCCTGTAGGGCCATATTCATCTCCACTAGGGATCTTAATCACAACTCTCCTTGGGGAATTGGCTTTTTAATCTCCTCTCAGGCTACCCAATGATATCTTCTTCTTTCCTCCGAATCGCCCCACAAGAATCTGCACTGGATAGTTCCCAATTTTTTTACAACACTTGTTGGAATAGTCAAGAAAGTCATATAATAAATGGGTAAGTTTCTCAGCATGCATTTGATGAGCATAACTCTCCCTCCTTTAGAAACAAGAGTTTTCTTTCAACCCGATTACCTCTTCTCAAACCTAGCCATCACCAGATCCAACATTCCACGCTCTTTATAGGTGGCCCCCAACTGTAACCCCAAATACTTAATCGGTAGTTTTACAGCTTTGCAATCCAAAACCCTTGCCAAACTATCAATGTCCCTATCATCACACAATCTAACCATCTCGGACTTGATAAGACTAATACTAAGTCACGAACTTGCTTAGAAACCCATCAAAACACATCTAAAATTGAGGATTGCACGCTCATTCGACTCACATAATAGCATGGTATCATCTAAGAAAAATAAATGGGTTGTCTCCTTGGTGCATTCCCCCACCCCCACTTTGAGTTCTTTAAATAATTCTAATCCCCCAACTCTTTATCAACATCTTAGTTAAAGCTTTCATTACCATAATAAGCAAAAGAGATAACAGACCTCCCTGTTTGAGACCTCTAGAAGCCTTGAACAAATAAAAAGGGTTTCCATTGACCACCACCACAAAAGAAGTGATAGTTATACAGGACTTTGTCCATCTATGTCATTTCACACCAAATCACATTCTCATACGCCTGTAATCCAAGAAACCCTAGTTTACATGATTGTATGTGTTCTCCATGTCGAGCTTGCAGAGGACCCCTTCTTGTTTTTTATACACCAATTCATCCACTCCCTCATTGGCAATAAGTGCGGCATCAAGAATTGCACCTCCCACAAAAGCACGCTGACATTTGCCAACCACTTATCCATTATTCGCTCTTAAATGTTGGTATTACTAGCTAGTAGAGGCCTTCATAGCTAACTTCTTCAAGGATGCTCCAAGAAAATGAAAATAATTACAAGGAAATTTTGAATGGTGAAAAAAATGAAACACCCCACCCAGTTCTGATACTTAGCAATTTTTCTACAAGCAGTTGAAACACTACCATTTCAATCCTAAAGGATAAGCAAGCAACAAGCAGCAATAGTGGGAAAAGAATCAAGCAACAGTAATTCAAGAATTCTTTCCTCAAACATCACACTGTCATGCAACTGCAACATGACCAAAATGAACTTTGAAAGGAGAAAGGATAGAGATTCTCACCTTTGCAAACAATACCGACACAGAATTTGGAAACTCTCCTGTTATTATGATAAGAGATAGCAAAAAAGGAAGAGACAGAAAACTGTTATAAAACATGATTTCAATTGAAGAAAGCCCATCTTCTGCACCAGATTTCTCAACCAGCACAAGGTACATCGTCTGTAATTAAAATTTGATGCTTTAGCAAATCCTGAATAATAAAACACCTAGTAGCAAAGTTTAACATACCAGTTTGAAACTATTAAGTACATACAAGTAATCGATGATGAGGAAAAAGAGATTTTAAACCGAACCTGGAAAAAGACAGAAGTAAGGGCCATGCTGTATCCAAAAAGGTCAAAGGAAAAATCCCCTAGTGCTGCTATAACACAACCAGCAGCAGTCAATACTACAGAAAGAGCTACCTGAAATTGACAGGAAGACAAATCATGAATTTGGACGCGTTCTTATTATTCAAACCAGCAACCAAGTACCAGTTGATATGTTTGAGATTTCACACACGACAAATTCCCAAAAAGAAGCATTTTGAGAATGATTGCTAATTCAACATCATCAACCTTTCCATCAAACATGGTAACTAGATGAAAATTAGAAGTGCAAGGAAACATGGATTTAACAAAATGAAGAAGGAAACAAATCAAACTCAATTTCACTAGAAAAAACTATCATTCAGATTGAGCTTTCTATATGGAAATTAAAAGGAGAATATGAAGATGACAAGGATAGTTATTTGTACCCTGTCTAAAACAGGAGGGCATCTCTGTTTCGAAGCTCAATGGCCAAATGCCCACAGCAATTATTCAGTAAGGCACAAGTTAATGGTTACTGTCAGAGGCAATCGGCTGTAGTAAAATCTACAAGTGGTGAGTAAAAGGACTTATTTTTGGCATTC